TGTATGGTGATCATATTTTATGGCTTTATGTATAATCTGCATGCTTTAATAAATTTATTTTATGTTCACAGCATGAGCAACAGGAATGAATGGCTTAGTGTTCCCATTCTGCAAAAGTACAGCTTTCAGACAAGCTTTAGGTGAGTCGATAAAAAGTCTCCATTCTCGAGGATGATTTTCAGTACCTAATTCTTCCATTAGTGCATCAACATCTGTACAAAAACACAGAGTATCTTGCATGCTGTAGTGAGAAGCGAGACTTTGATGACGACTTCAGTAAATTGAAACTCTTGTTTCTGGAGCTGATAAATTCCATTGCTGTAAATGAGAGCCAAGAAGTTCCCATGCTGCTTTGATAGACAAGTCACGAATCAGATCATTTAGATCTTCCAGTGTGATCAGATGAGGCAGTTTACGTCGAGATTCCACATGAATACAATTACTAGATGAAGATGATTCATTGTTTTCTTCGCAGGATAACTCTTCTGTTCCCAATTTGCTAATAAGTGTGACACTGGAAGACAATTCCCATGAGATACTGGTTTCATTGCATATGTAATGGATATTTAATGTAGTTTAGTTTTAGTTGAATACCCAGAAGTATTAGTCATGTAAAAATAACAGTCAGATTATCTTTGGGCTCATGCCATATCATGGGAATTGCTAATAGCATACTTGCTCTTCCTATTCAACCACTGTGTCAAGCCAGATGTACAAACACACATGTGGATCCCAATGTCTTTCATGGTCACCAATTTTACACTCAAAATAGTGGTAGTAAGCTAACTTTACCTCGTTTGTGATGTTTTTCCTTCGTGAAACTATAATATATTTTTCACAAATGTATCAGAAACTGTTTGAGTATTTTTTGCACTTTCGGACTTTATTTTCAAATTATTTTCTAAAAATTATAAAATAATTTATGTTTACAGAACTAGAGTTTAAAATATTTAGAAAACAACAACAAAGTTTTGAAAAATTAATTATATCACGAGTATGACGCGAGGGTTTCGTGATTCCCAAGGGGAGCAGATGAGCTTGGATATGAAGCAAATGTGGTGCAATTCGCTACAATTATATCAAGAATAGCATATACATACGAACATGTTTTTGGAATTTTACACCAATACAATACAGTCAATTTTGAAATTATCAAAAATGTATGTCTTTTACCCATTGAACTGTCCAGACAAACATAATTTCACTGTATAAATCTATTGTACTCAGTTGATTGCACGGTATTTCACATAGTACTGATAAATATTGAAATATTATAATAACTCAAAAGCTGGAGGTGATGGACAAATTTTGACTACATTTCTGAAATCAACACCATCAATTTACCTCGAATCAGTTTTCTCTAGTAGCAAATTTCTTGTTGTCCGATGTTAATTTTTCAAAACAGATTCAAAAATACACGAAATTTGACCAACAATACAGCTGTCCATGGAAAAAAAAATAAATATTATAGCTTGCTAGACGGAATACTTATTTTAAAAATAAAATATATACATTAATCGCCAGAAAGGTTTTACAATTGATATCTTTCATATTTTATTTATTTTTTTTTAAATATAAATTATAGCATCTCATTATCGTGCTAAGTCGATAATTCATTTCCGAAACTGCCCCTGCTAGGCTCTGGCACACGAGGTCAGTGCTCCAAATCCCCAGTTGATGTCTTGAAAAATCAGAATCGACATACAGTATTTAGATCTTGTTGACCTGGGAGGGTCAGGTTCTCCTGGACCTATTCCTTCCCCTGCATTTGTGTATTCACAATTGTACAATATTTTGTTAATTATTACATAAAGATCAGAGTTTATGTTGTTTGCCCTTCCAAGGCCATGCACATATATGGTAATTAAGAAAATATTTAATATGCTGACATTTTCGCTTTCATTCGTTATTATTTAGTCACATACATCGCGAATAGTTCCAGTAGTTATACCTATTTGCTTCAAGAGTTTTGTTACCACAGGAGTATTGTACATATAATAAACCCTTTTCAATGCTCTCGTTGTTACGTAATTAATGTAGATTGTCTTAGCTTTAGGTGGCCATATTATGTTTATCTTTACAAGTATAATAGTACTGTCTGTCCATATAAACTACTTCGTAGGGTGTGGATGGATCTTCACCAAAGTTGGTATGGAGGTTCATAAGGTCCATACAAATCTCCAGTTTTGTATTTTGCGGGTTTTATGGGTGCCTTTTTACCACTACTTCGCTCTCTGTTGATGGATCTTGACCAAATTTGGTATGAAGGTTAGTTGGGTCCATATGGAGATAGATGCAAACTTGCGGTTTCACATTTTGTTTTGCAGTTTTTATGGGCGTTTTTCACAATTACATATAAGGGAATCGACTTTTCATGTCCTAAGATAACCTTTCATTAAT